TCTCTCTCTCTCTCTCTCTCTCTCTCTCCTCTCTTTCCCTAACTGTTTAGGGACTGGCCTCTCTGTGATAATATGCCCAAAGTATGTGGGACAAAGTATTACTATCCTTCTAAGGAGTATTCTGTTGCATTTCTTAGAAGATAATTTATGTATTCTTTTAGCAGAACACAGTATACAATCTTCACTAAACTATTCAAATTCATCAACTTTTTTTTATAATCTTTATTCTTTGTCCAATTTTTACATGAATATGAAGCAATGTAAACACCAGAGCTTGAATCAGATACACTTTAGTAAACTTGATCAAAAAGTGCTTCAAGTCTGAGTTATTTCCTGACAGTAAGGTTGCATTATTTGCATACTGAAGGTTTTTTCATTTTTTAAAAAGTTTTTAAATAATTTTTTATTTTATTGTTTTTATTTTATTGGTTTATAAAGTTCATATACATTATGTTTTACATTATTCTTCATTCATATTGTGTTTCATACAATCATTCCTATGTATGACATTTTATAAAATCAATAATGATTGGACCTTGCCCATTATTACCCTGTCTTTCCAGGTGGCTGCCTGATCCTTTCTATTTCCTTCACCTATATTGTAGGTTTTTGATGACTCTTACTCTAACCTTGATGCTACATTCTTCTTCATATAGTCCAGCTTCTCAGATCATTTGCTCAGCATACAGATGGAATGCTATATTGTGAAAAGAAGCAATGCTAACACACACCTTCCGATTTGCAACTACAGAGTATTCTCTTGTTCTGTTTAAATGACTGCTATGTGGTATATATACAAGTTCTGCATGAATATAATGAAATATCCTAGAATTACCCTTCTTCTCAATATTATTCATAATGTATTATGATCCATGCAGTCAAATGCCTTTGCATCATCGATAACACACAATAAACATCTTTCTGGTATTCTCTGATTTTAGCCAGGATCTATCTGACATTACCAATTATTTCTTTTGCGTCACAGTTTCTTCTGAATCTAATTTGCATTTCTGGAAATTCCTTGTCTACTGAGATGCAAAAGAATGACTTTGTCCAAATTTACAATCATTAATGTCAGAGTTAGGAACTGAACCCAAGATTTCTTACTTCAAAGTCCAAGCTTTAGCAGTTATTTAATTTCTAAACTCATGCTGTGGGTCCAATCTACAAATTTGAGAGTCTACCTTGATTTTCTAGGTACCTAAATTCTAGCCAGATGAGGTATCTTTAAAAAAGGTCCTAGTTCAATCTAGTATCATACATCAGGTGCCACATCCTACTTACTGCTTTCTAGATTATGTTTTACATTTCTTTGCATTCTCCTGGTTACCTGCAGATGCAGCTTACTTTTCCCCTTAATTCTGTGCACAACCTCATTCTGCTCCGTCATTACCTCAGTTTTAGATCTGAGGTAATTTTAGCAATCCTTTTAACAAGACCACTTTGAAGATAGCTTTCTCAAAGGGTTATGCTTTGGGAACAATACTCTATAAGGTTTGTTATAGTCTGATCCAAAGCCTGTGTGGAGGGTTATGGTATACCTCGACCATAAGCTTTATTGTCACGAATAAAAAGATGCCACAGCTCAATCATATTTCCTCAACTGTAATTTTGCTTATTAAGGTCAGTGCATGCAATTATCTGGAATAAAACTCAGTCATAAGAATACTCTATTTATAGTTGTTTTTGCTGTCATTAGGTACAGTCAACAACTCATACCAACTCTATGAACAATGGACTTGAACAATACCCCATCCTGTGATATCTTTATCATCTCTGATATACTTAAACCCATTCTTATAGATGCTGTGTCAAGATATCTCATTGAGGGTCTTCCTTTTGTTTGCTGACCCTGTACCTTTCTCAGGATAATGTCCTTTTCCAACAATAGGCCCCTCCTAACAACACATGAATTAGGAGACATATTGTACTAGAAAAGTCTGCAGTTAAGGACCTCTCTAAATTACTGAGGAGTAATGATGTCAGTCTAAGGACTAAGGTGAATCTGATTCAGGCCACAGTCTTTCTGATCACTTGCTATGCATTTGAGAACTGGACAATGAACTGTGCCAGAGTACTCTTTGGAGGCAAGGATGATGACGCTTTGCCTTCCCTACTTGGGGCATGTTACTAGGAGAGGCTACTCCTTGGAGAGGGACATGATGTTTTGAAGGGTGGAGGGTCATTGAAGGAGAGGAAGACACTCAATGCAGTAATTAACACTGTGACTGCCACAAAAGGCCTAGTGTATCAGGGCATGGGATAGGACGGGGTTCAGACCCACTATTCAAAGAGTTACTATGAGTTGTACTCAACAACGCCTTACAACAACAACAACAACATATGGCCAATATTGGAAAGATGAAGCTTAATCATCCTTGTCTCCAAGGAGCACCCTGGTTTTACTTCCTCCAACACATATTTGTTTGCTCTTTGGCAGTCCATAGGATATTCAGTAATATTCTTCAATACCACAATTTAAAGGCATCAATTCTTCTGTAATCCTTAGTCACTGTCCAACTTTCAGATGCATAACAAGTAGTTGAGAAGGCCTTGGCATAGAAGACTTCAGGAGAGGGACCTGTAATTAGGTGAAAGGCTTATTCCCAGAGCCAACATATTGTGTGCTGGGAGTGTTGTTGTTGTTGTTAGGTGCTCTCAAGTCAAGCACAACTCATAGAGATCCTTTGAACAAAAGATCTGAACCTAGTTCTATCCTGTAACATCCTCACTTCCTGACACACAAGAGCTCATTGCAGCAATTACCATCTCGATCCACCTGCTTAGCGGTCTTCCTATCCTTTGCCAATCGTCCACCATTCCCAACATTATGTCCTTCTCCAAGGAAGAGCACTTCCTAGCAACATGCCCAAAGTATATGAGGCAAAGCCTCATCACTTTTGCCTCCAAAGAACACTCCATTGGCACCCTCTCCAAGACATATCTGTTTGTTCTCTTGGCTGTCCATGGGATGCTTGGTAGTATTCTTCAACACTACAGCTCAAAAGTGTCAATTCTTTTTCATAATTGGAAAGACTATGGTACCTTAGTCCTCAAAGTGACATCACTACTCCTTAATAATTTGTAAAGCTCCCCAGGGAGGAAGCTGCTCTAGGCAGGATATCTAGCCATTGTGGAGCCAGGCCAAGAGAGGGGCTAAAGGAGAGACTAACTCCCAGAGCCAGCATCAGTCCAAATGGCAGGCAGGAAGTGCTAGGGCAGGAGCTTTCTGCCAGCCCCCTGGTCTGATGTTTCAGTTCAGGAACCTGATAGAGCTGCTCTGCAGACTTCAGGAGAGGGAGCTAAAATCAGGTGAGAGACTCACTCTCAAAGCCAGCCTACTGTGGTGCTGGGGAGTAATGAGCCTGCAAGTCCCCAGGAGGGAAATAGCTCCAGGTAGGATACAGGTCATCACTAGAGCTACCCCCATGGAGGGGATTTCAATCAGGCAAGGGACTCACTAGCAGAACTAACACACTGAAGTGCTGGGAAGGGAGGTTCCTGCCACCAGCCTGAACAGAAACTGCTCCAGGTCAGGAATCTGACCGTGCCACTCTGTAGACCAAAGAGGACAATAAAAATCAGAAGACAGTGCTACAGTAAGGCAAGATTCCCACAGGGATGT